GAAATGAATTAAGTAAGATTATTATCTTCTCACCCCCTGAAAGTGAATGAGCTACTGAGTCGTCTAAGGACAGTCTCCCCTTTGCTCCTCCCCAGAATGATTTGACTCTGTGATCGACTCTTTGCAGTTTAGAAGGGGTTAAAATTCCACATCCAGAAAAAGAACTATGGAGTCTGAATGCAGATCGAAGCATGCGATTTACTCTCTTTTGTTGTTGTTGTTGTTTCTTATTTCTCGTGGTTTTTCCATTGGTTCTAATTCTTCTGTACAACATGACTAATGTGAAAATATGTTTAATAGGAATGTATATGTAGAGCCTATATCAGATTGCATGCCCTCTTTGGGAGAGTCGTGGAAGGGGGAGAAAATTTAGAACTCAAAATCTTATGGAAGTGAATGTTAAAAACTAGAAATCAATTAATTAAGTAATTAACTTTTTTTTAAAAAAGGGTTAAAATATAAATGGAAGGGAAAAGGTCCTTTTGCTTACTACAGGATCAAGGAGTGGTCCAGGAAGGAATGGACTGGTGACTTTGGTACTTAATTTGTAATGTTAACCTCAAACTAGTTTAATATATCTTTTCCTTGTTCTAGATTCCTACCAATGTCTTCTCAATTCATCTTGTGGTAGAGAGATACATAGGAGAACACAAGGGAACTATGCCAGTTTGGACATATCTTTAAGCCAAAATTGACCTGGATATTAATATTAAATTGTTTCTGGCAGACTTGTACCTAAACACAGAGTACAGTATTAATATGTTTTCTTTGGCAGATGAAACCTCTGTTCCCCTTCTCAGAATAATATTTTTAAATGCATAAAATATATAGGGTAATTATTAAGGAAACCAATTATATAGAGTTATCAGAATATTTTAAAAAAATTCACAGACCTCAGATTAAGAATCCTCCATTTTACATATAGACAATTCGCTCCTTTTCTTCACTCTGTTGGTTAGTCCTCACACTACACGTTGATTCTTCTGCTGAACAAAATAAGCACCTACTATGTGCTGGCCATTGTGTTCTTTCTTTGTGATGCCTCTTGTATCTTCCCTTTCCATTCCAGGGGCAGCTGTTCTGGCTCAGGCCTTCATGGCTTCACCCCTGGAGCAACAGCCTTCTGCCCCATTTCTAATCTACCCTGCACCTGGCTACCACCAGATTCCTCTTTCTCAGTCCCAGCTTTCATTAATATCCATATTAGCACAACTCATATTTGCCTGGGTACACTAGTTTAAAAAATGCTTTTCTCACAAAGAAGTAAGGGAGTCAGTGGAGGTATTAGGTTGGCTTGGAGTCAGGAAGACGTAGTTCAAATCCTGCCTCAGACGTTTGATCAACTCTGCAACTGAGCAAGTCACTTAACTTCTTTTACCCTCAGTTTCCTCATCTGTAAAATGGGGATACTAATAGCTATCTCACTGGATTGTTGTGACCAAATGAGATGATGTAAAACATTTTTACAAATTTTAAAGTTTTACATAAATGCTAGCTATAGCTATGTCATCATCATCATTTTTAAGAGGAGGAAGCAGTCTCAAAGAGATTAACGGTCACACCACTAGTAAGTATTGGAGTAGAGTCTCCAGCCTAGGTCTTTTGGCTCCAAATGTGGGTGCTCCTTTGTTTGCTGTTGCTGTTTTACTTCGTATCCATTGTGTGTATCCCGTGTGCACAATACTTGGCACTTAGTAAGTGCTTCATGCTTGTTGACTGTTAACTCTTTCCAAGCTACCTGGCCCCTCATCATGTCACTCTGTTGCTTAGAAACCATCCTGGAGTCCCAGTTACCTCTCCAGAATCCAGTTTGCACCCTGGCTGACATCCAAAGTCCAGCCCCAAGACCTTGCCCAGTCTTTCTCTCTCTCTTTCTGGTCTTACCTTTCCTCCTCCCTATACAAACTCTCTGTTCCAGCCTGGCCTATCTCTTCCCCTCTCCAGTAGATTCCTTTGGGCCATCTCATCTCAAAATCTGACCCATACTTCAACACCCAAACTTCAGTCTCTCCTCTTTGATGAATCTCTCCCTGACTACCCCCAAGGTCTATGTTGGACACCATTGTAATTTCTCTGTTCTTTGAATCCCTACTGAACATGCAGTCAGAGCCTCCTATTTCCCTCTTATCTCACTGTTGAATTCCTGGAGAGTGGAGAAACATCACTGGTCTCTCCTATAGACTGAGGTCAGTAATTTGCCCAAGGAATAGGGAAGGGGAGCGGGGCAGTCATTAACCATGGGCTCATAATCAAAGCCATGTTGTAGATCATGAAATGCTAGAGTTTAAAGGGACTACATAGAATCATAGGATTTAGAGCAGGAAGGAGACTTTGAAGATCAAGTAGACCACCTACCCTTCACATCCACTGCCTATTTTACAGATGAGAAAACTGAGGCCCATAGTGCCAGAGTGACACACCTAGGATCATGTAGCTAGTGAATTGCAGAGCCACCATTCAAACTCAGATTTTCTGACCCCACTCAGATCTAGGGTACGGTGACCATCTAGATTCCCACCAGACTCCGCCAATGCTGGGCAAAATTCAGAAAGATGAGGAAACAAGAGGTCATTCCAGTAGGTCAGGGTCAAGGCAAACAAAGGCCTGGAGCAGAGAAAATAAAGTCACACCAGCCAGATAGGTCTGTTAAGGCCTCACTTTAATTGGAGACACCACTGACATCCCAGTAGACAAAACACCAGAGAATTGCAGAGCCCCCATAACCACCACCACCAAAAACCACCCCCCCCTCCATCATCCCTCCAAGGCCAGGGGGGTGGTCAGAGCCCTTGGTGTGGTGGGAGGGGGTGGGGAAGGATCTCTACCCCCTCCCCAGCTGCTCCAGGGCCTTTGGTGAGAGTTGGCTGGGCATGGGGACAATGGCCAAGAGCCCCTTTCCTTTACCCAATTGCTGGCCATATTCCCCTATCCCTCTAAGGAAGAAGGGAACAAGATCTGCCTCCCCTCTTCCCACAACATATCTCATGAGAATAATAATTGTAATCATAACAACGACTCTACACTCTCTCACTTGTCTATATTACACATTATAAATACACTGGGGGCTGCCTCACCAGGAGGCAACCCTGTCCTGCCCTGCCCTGCCCTCCCTCTCCAGGCCTCTTTCTCTCTCAGTGGCCAGAGGGGAGGACAGGACAGAATGAGACTGGACTAGAGGCTGGGAATGGGGATGATTTGGATGGGGAGGGGGCTGGTTTCCCTTTGTTCTGCTGGAGAATAATTTACAATCCACTCTTGCGGTATGTACAGAAGGTGGAGGCACAGCCCCCACCCTTACCAGCTGGACAGAAACCACTTTCTTTACAAAAATAAACCCTGTACAAGAGCCCAGGGAAGGGGAAGGAAGGGGAGAGGAGGAGGTGTGAGGAAGGGCATGGGATCCACTGAGGCAGAAGGATCAGCACAGGAAAAAGGAGGGAGGGAAGAAGAGAGTGACAATAACTCCTGTTTATATAGAGGGCTTCAAGGTTTCCAAAGCACTTTCCTCACAACAACCTTGTGAGGTAGGAAGTGTAAGTGATTTTTATCTCTGTGTTAGAGAGGAATAAACCAGGGTCCAAGGTCACACAGCTAGTGCCAGAACCAGGATTTGAACCCAGGTCTTTCTGAGCACCCCAAGGACTATGCTCTTTCATCAAACGGAAATGACTAATGATGGACAAAGGAAAGAAAGGAGGGAGAGATGGAGAGCCAGAGAAGTGGATGGAAGGACGGAAATGGACCACCTGGATGAAGGAACAAAAGAAAGGGCTCGTTGCTGCTACAGTACTGTGTATGATCAGAATTGGCAAGGAGGAGAGGTGCAGCAAAGGAAAAGGAATATCACTGCCCATTTTCTACCTCCACAGCCTGGGGGAGGGACAAAGTTCCCTCCAGAGCAGACTCCACCTCCTTCCCTGGCTGGGCACTTCTAGATGGAAAGGAAGAGCCCTATCTTTCTGACCTGTGGCCCAAAAGCCCCTCAGCTCCCAGTGGTTGGGGCACCTGGCAGAGGCCAGAGGGAAAGTACGGACAGGGGTTACCAGGAGAAGAGGCAGCCTTGGCTCCCAAAGGAGCAGGAGTGAGAGCTGCCAGGGGATGGGAGAAGGGGAGGCGTTGGGTTGGGGTTTGGGTCAGGTGGGATTTATTGCTTGGAGCTCCCCCCCATGGGGGGCCAGCTGGGGAGGGGAAGAAGAAGCTTGAGGGGGAGCTGCAGTCTCCTGAGCATGGACCCTCTGCTCCCCAGCTCCCCTCGCTGTCCCCCCAAGGCCACAGGGAGGGGTTAAGGCAGAAACAAGGAGAGCAAACAGCAGCTAGGTGGGAGGGAGGCTGAGCTTCCCCCTCCACCCCATTACAGAGGCCAAGAAAACTCATCACACCCTCCAAAGGCAAAACTGAGGCCTAAGGAGAGGTTGGGCTCAGGGGAGGGGGAGAGGCAGCCCTTCCTGCCCTTTCTGTCCCACCCAACCCACACACACACACACACACACACACACACACACACACACACCAGAGTTTTTGGCAAAATTAAAAGAGCAAAGAAAGTGGCTCAGGGTGCTGACCACACCGCCCAGCCCCCCCAACACACACACCCTTCACCCCAGCCCTACTCCCCACCGTATTGCCAATCACTGCAAAATAAAGAGGAAGACTTCCTGAAGGTGATATAGCCTGGGGTGAGTGTTGGCTAGGAGACGGGGTCCCCTCTCGCAAAGTGACCCCTTGCTCCCCCTAGGATGGCTATGCCCAGCAGGGGGCACCCCAAGGCCTACTCACAGCAGGACAAGATAGAAGTTAGTACGTGGGCACAGACTATGCAGAGGAAGACTGAGCCCTAGAGGCTGGGGTAGGGAAGGGCATCTACAGTTGTTGTGTTTCATTCCCTTTTTTTCTTTTTCTTTTTTTTTTTTTCTAAAAACTTCATAGTTAAAAACGGAAAAAATATCCCCCCCTTTCCCCTGCCCTCCCCACCCCCCTTCCCCTCCATCCCCCTCCCCTACCTCTAACCCCACCACCAAAAAACCCAGTAGGGAAAAAAAAGAAAAAGGAGGGGGGGAAATATTTTTCTTTTTTCTTTTTTTTCGAAACTGCAAGTTTTTGCTGCTGCTTCCGGAAAAAGGTTGAGGTGGTTGGTGGGGATGGAGGTGGAGGAGTCCAGGGCCGGGGAGGAATCAGGGATGGGGAGATGTTGCTCAGGATGGACATCCTGGGTCCCCTAGGCTGGCTAAGTCTTGGACCTCTTCGGGGGGTTCTTTCTCGGCTTGCGGGGAGGCTCCGGCCTCGATCATTTCCTCGTCGTCCTCTAGCTCCTGGGGCGATGCTAGGGGTGGCTGCTGTGTCTCTTTGTCGGGTGTAGACTCCTTTGGGGGCACTTCGTCCTTCTCCATTGTATCTGGTCTTTGACAGCTCGGTTGAATGACTGAAGCTCCGGACGCACTTAGGGGCCTTGTTGAGGGTGGGGCGGGCAGGCTGCCCTTTTGGAGGCCGTAGCCTAGACCTACCCGCCCCCCCTCGGGGGCTGGCTCCTCCTCTTCCTCCAGTTGGCTGACTGTCTTTGTGGAGGCTGTATCCTCCTCACTGATCAATTCAAATTGGAACTTGTCCTGGCCCTGGCCAGGTGGCTCTTCAGGGGGTGGTGAGGGGCTCTGTGGGATAGCACTGTGGTACCAGTCCCGATTATCCTCCAGCATGTCCAGAATCTCCTGAGCATCAGGGTGAACGAGGTCTGCCCACGTCTCCCATAGTGGATGCACGATGTAGTCGATGAAGCCCACCTGGGGTCAGGGAGGGAGCGGGAGAATCCCCCTGTGACCCTTATCACCAGATAATGTGGTATGTGACCCCCAAGTTTCCTTGAAGCAGTGAAGGGTTACTCAAGAATACTAGGGGGGGGACTAGGCACCCCATTCAGAGGCCCTTTGGGGCAATATCTTGTGGCAGTAATGGGGTAGGGCAGAAATTCCCAAGGGGCCACAGAAGGGGAGGAGGGGAGATGATGTCCCTTGGAGAACATGGAGGGTCCTTTGGGAATAATGGGTTCCTGGGCATCCCTGGAGGGCTTAGGGAGTCACCTAGACATGGGAGGGCAGCACCAGAGATTTCAGAGCATAGGGAGGGGGCTGGTACCTGTGATTTCTCCACAGATGCCGTATGTTTGTCACACATGGGGCTAATCTCCATGCCTCTCTCCCGCTCCTTGTCTCCCTGGCGGAAGAACTCTTCCATGATGCGGTCAGTCCATTGCCTATACAGTGCCAGTGGCTTTGTCGGGTTGCTGAGGTCAGCACAGTGCACCATGTTCCGAAGGACCTGGGGGATAGACAGGAAGGCTCCTTCAGCTCTGAATGATCAGAGGGCTGAGGACTAGAAGTCCTGGGCTGTAGTTCTCCTTTTGTCCCCGAGGACTAAGTATCCCTTAGAATCCCAGCATTGGAAAGTATTTAAATAGAAGGTAATTCATTCCAACCCCATCCCAAGCAGGAATCTTCTCCCACCTCCCTAACAAATAATTATCATCTAGAGTCAGCTTCCAGACTCTAGTCTAGTCCCGAGTGGTGGAGAGCTCACTCCCACATGGGGACAGATCTGTAGTTGCTAGAGTTTCTTCCCTTGCCTGGACCTCAATTTCTCCATCTGCATAATGGGAAGAACAATCTGTTTGCCTCAGCTCAATCCTGTTGGCACCCAGGGTTGATATATGGAAAAGTGAAATGAGAGAGTGAAGAAGGTTCTGGGGAGCTGTCTCAGGTAGGGAACTTAGCATGGGAATGCAAGAAGTTTCTCAACCAAGGATCTTCTCATCTCCAGAGTCCTCACTGAGTGGGTGAAGGGTGCCCCAAGGATTTATTCCTTACCTGGATTCGGTCCGTATAATTGTCCAACAGCAGGACCCCTGAGCTTGTCACTTTCTTAGTTTCCACCATGGTCTTGAGGTCAGCCAGAAGGCTCATGTGTTTGGACATATCTGTGGCCAGCACCTGTAGGTGAGGGTGTGTTCACTAGCAGGCTCAGGACACCCTGTTTCCTCACTATAGTTAAACTCTAGCTCTCTGATCTCTAGTCATTCCCTGCCTCCAGCTTCTGTCTACTCCTCCCAGCTCACAGTCTCCACTTGATCCCAATTCCTGTCCCCAGCCTCCCCCATCACCGAAGTCATAACTAATCCTAGGGTAAATTTGATTTGAATATGCAAAAGAGAGGAAGGATGCAGACAGCGACCTTGGGATACCCCCAGACTACCCTGTGTTGCTATTGCCACTGATCCTGGGCATCTTGCATGGGGCAGATCCCCATACTGAGTAGTAGTCTGCCCAGACAGGTGCAATTGGATTGGTGGAGTAGAAGACAGGCCTCAGTACAGAGCTCCAGAAGGGAGGTAACAGCTAAGGAACACCTGGGTGGTGTCTGCCTGGGACTGGACAAGCAAGGGCCCCTTCTCACATTCTCCCCCAGTGTGTCAACATGGAGGAGGCAGAGGGGCAGTGGGCATGCATCCTTACATCCATGTATTTCACATACACAGGTCAAGGTGCTGATTACAGCTCCATCAAATCCCCAATCCTGACTCCACTCACACTGCCCACCCAACTACTATGTCAATTACCCTCCCTACCTTCCATGTTAATGACCTCCCAATGATCCTTCTCCCCACTCCTTGTACTAAATCAATGATCACCCCCAGAGCTTTAACTAGGCATTATAGTGCTGGGTTTTTGGGGGGGGGACTAGAATAGTCTACCCCATTTGAATGTAGTCATTCTGGGCCTAGGAGAGGCAAAGCCCTCAAAGCCCCAAAACCCCAAACCCTAGGAGGAGGTGGCGGTAGCAGGTGGCTCCTACCCTACTCCTCCCCATGTTAAGAGAGAACCCAAAGCAATAGGACTCTGAAAACTGAACAAGAGAGCAAGAGGTCACATTTCTTTTTCTTTTGCTTTTTGGTGAGGCAATTGGGGTTAAGTGACCTGCCCAGGGTCACACAGCTAGTAAGTGTCAAGTATCTGAGGTCACATTTGAACTCAGGTCCTCCTGACTCCAAGGCCAGAGTTCTATCCACTGTGCCACCTAGCTGCCCCTAGGAGGCAGCTTTTGAAGATACACGGCTAGCAGCCTGAGTTATCTCAGAAGAGAGGAGTTGGACTGTGGCTCCCAGATATCAGACACTCTCAGGACCCTGGAGCAAATATCCAGCAGACTGGTCCTAAGTACACCTCTGCCTCCTACCACTAACCATCACTCCTGTCTCCTCTACCATTTCAGTGGCCATCACCCTCAGCTCCCCTCCTCCATCATATCATCACCCCAGCCTTCCCTTCTCCACCATGTCAATGGCCATCACCCTCAGCTCCCCTTCTCCACCATATCAGTGACCATCACCCCCAGCTCCCCTCCTCCATCATATCAGTGACCATACCCCCAGCCCTTCTCCACCATGTCAATGACCATCACCCTCAGCTCCCCTTCTCC